AATTTGTTTTTTTATAGTGAGTTCTTATAGAAAAAGTCAATAATTTCTGCTGCCTTTCTAATGTTAAAACAAAAAAATTCTACTATATAACTTGAATTACATCTTTTTTACGCTATTTCTACCTAGTCTGGAATAAGATTTTAAAGGAACAACAAGATAAAAAAATGATAGAAGATGTTAAGAAATGAATAGAGAAATTTATTAAACACATAAACATTTTACTTAGGGTTTAAATTTTAATGTTAATAAGAACCTAAATAAAACTTGTATGAATAAATTAAAATTAAATTAACAGTATATTTTACATTACAAAATTTAAATCATTTGTAATACATAATTTTAAAGGGTATGAGATCAGTAACATTTGCTATAATCATAAGTTGGATCATCAACACCTTTAGTCTTCCAGTCTTCCGGTGTTAAGAGATAAACCTCTATTTTTTTGGCCTTCAGTTTGGAGAGAATTTTATTTTTCAGACTTCAAATGTGTTAGGTCCTTCTAAAGAAGGTAAAGAAATATTAAAGACTGCTGCTAAAATAAAGTTAAAGCGATGACCATGAATATCGAACAGCGCAGTTAAGTGAAATTGCAAGAAATACCAAGATTTCTATTAGTTTTGTATAGTACAACAGTACTTATAATTTAAAACAACCTAAAAATGACATTTCCTCTCTGTATACCTTTAAAATAAATATATATATAAATGTTGTATGCCACGGACACTACTCCCTTTCGAAGTCTTAAACAACTATGTTATTATCTAACCCCCCTACTTCATAGAAAAAAAAATGTAATAGTTAACACAACCACGAATTATACAAACAAAATAAATAGTATCTTTGTACATTAAAAACAGGTCATATCAATTACATTAACACAAAAAAATTTAAATAAATATGAAGTAAACAAAAAAGTGCGTTACACAAAAATCTTTCAAATTTAAATAGAGATGCAAAAACCACCCCTAATAAAATAAGCAACTAATATAGCCTGAAAAAAAAATGTTAGACAAATTAATAATTAATTTTGCTAAATTAAACGAAACTATTCACTTTTGCAATTAAATAATCTTATTTATTAGTTAAAATCAATTTATTTATTTCAATGAAAAAAAATAATTGCCACTTTTATTATAAATTATGATTAACATGAAAATAAAGGGAAAATCTGAATTTCAGCTGTATAATTATCGTATTTTATCTATTACTGGAAGATTTAAGTTTTTATGGTAAATATTTTTGCATAAGAGTTGTAGTGTATAAATTTACCTTAACTTAAAAATATTTCTCAACCTTTAAGGTTATTAAGAGGTTGGTATATTTATTTCTTAAAATATATAATTTCTTTAAGTTTAATTAAGTGGAAATTCTAATTTCCATTTTTTTTTTAATTTTAGGCTCCACTCTTAATGTATTGTTGATTACATGCCCTATATCAACAATTTAAGTTATAAAGATTTACTTTCAGAGATCTAAATATGACTTCAAATAAAACCAGAAAATCATATCCTGAACGTTTTAAAATAAAAATTCATAGAAGATAAATGGAAAAACCTTACATTTTTTTAATTGCATTGTCTCGCTCTTACATCCTTCGTTATCACATGCCTCTTTTAGGTTACTAGCCCACCAGTAATTTTTAATTTATAAGGTTTTTGCTTTAGCGGTGCGCAAGATTTTTCTAAACCTAGTACTCGTAGTCCCCCAGAGTTTTAGTATTTAATTTTTCATTAACAGCTTATATATTAAAATTAGTATAATTATACAGCATTCGTAAATTATATAAATATAAATTATGACAGATACACTTTTTTTTTAGTTTTTGTAAGTAATATTAATTTTCAAACTTATAACATGCATGAAATATTAAGAAATTAAAGTTTTTAGCCAGCAAACATTAAAAAAGGTAAAACTTTTGTATAGCTAAGGTTTTCTTAAAACTAAATTTTATAAAAAAGTGGAGTCCCTCCTTTTTTCGTTATGACAAAAATCAAGAACAATTAGTGTAGCTATAACATGTCTGCATATTTATAAAACTGTAACTAGAAATTTAAGTAATTCATTAATGGTAGTAGAAACGGGGGAAATGCATAACTTTATTAAAACATAGTAAGTAAATTGTAAGGGTGAGAAAGAAGAAAGAATTTATGAAATTTTTAGTATGGGGTTAATAATGCTAAAAAAACACTAATGGACGACTATTATAGTATTAATAAAAAAGTTTTTATCCCTTTTTTTTTTATCTGTTAATATGGAAAGTTTTATAATATTTTTAGTTTATAACTTGCCTTCCCACATATAAAAAGTATTTCAGTTTTTTTAAAAATTTACTGTTAGCTTAATGTAAACTAAGTTTGCTGCATGATATATTTAATAATAGGTTTCATAGAAATAAGACAAGTAATGTTATCACTTCTTTACAATCTCTTTAGCATTTCTCTTCAAGTCAAAAAATAAGAGTCGTGGATAATGTATTGTTTCAAATAGCATTACTATAGTTTGCATTAGTGAACTTATTACCACGTACGTAAATATGCATGTAAAAGATATCTATCAGCTAACTATTTTCATTGATCTTAACTCTTTTTCAATTACAATTGAAATTTTATTGGGATCTATTCTAGTGCACTCAGACCGCAAGGATGAAGATCATTGAAACCATTTGTAAAGTTATTTTTTAAAAGCAATCCTTAAAGCGTGTACATTATGGTTGGAAATCGGGTGAATATTGCTTACACGTAAAATACTGTTTTTGGAACTCTTTTTAGGTCCTCCTCTTGTAATAAAAACTAGAATAAAAGCCTCAGCTCAACTAGGGCCAGCAGTTGAGAATTGGAACAGGCCCTTACCTTAGACGAGCATTACTGTTATAATATTCAATTAAAGACAGAAGTTTATCTTAAACTAATAGTCATAACATTGAAAATAACAACCAAACAAAAATTATAAAAAGACGATATATATATCTTTTAATTATAATCATTTACCAAGCAGCTCCCAGTCATATCTAGACAAAAGCTTGGATGTAACCTCGAGTTATTTAAATGCATTTAATTAGAAATTAATTACGTTAAATTAGTAAGGTTTTTTCTGAAACTAAAACATAAAATAAATTTTTAATTTACGGTTTTCAAGGATAGTTTATCTTCCATATCCCTCTGCAAACGATTCTACTTAAGTTTACTTCAGAGTTCTCAAAGTTATATGATTACTTCATTAATTCTGAGAAAATTATAATTTTTTTTTTACATGACTATTATACTATAATAACTGTCATAGTTTTTGAAAACTTATCAAAGTCTGCTGCGAGCAGAATCTAATTTTGTTATTCACTATAAATGAAAACTTAATTACAACGTTTCGAGTCCTTAATTAGATCTAAACTCCATTTTACTTACTTTTTTATCGTTAGTTAAGGCCTTTTCTACCCCTAGTCTCCCCTCTAAAAGTCTTTTAATAACTACAAACCTTTTTTTAGTCTATACTCTTGTTACTTAGTTTACAATTTCTTTCTCTGTTTTAGTTAGCCTTTCCTTCGGACTTTTTATTACCTTCATAGGACACAATGTCTATATATCTTAGAAGGAATAGTAAGAAATTTTAACTAATTTTTCTCTTTAACTTTCTAGTCCTTCGAAGTCTGCATAAAGGTATAAAATGGACGATCAACTTAGATATGAAGTATGGTCTTTTTTACATTTTGTTTACTATTACAATTGTTTACATTAAAAGTTTATAGCTCCATCATAACGGGACCGCTTCTTCCAATAAGTGGGGTCTATAAAATTTTGTTTTAAGGGCTTTTAAGATGCTTAACTTTAAAGCTACAATCTTCTGGACAAAAAGTTTTTAATACTCTAAAAATAATTTTTTACTTTTTAAAATGCAGTTTTTTTGGGAAAAAAACTAAAGATAGCTTTAAAGAGGTATAAAAAAATAATACCAACTTTTTTCTTTATTAGCGTTAGGTAGTGTAACAGGTAATATATATAGTTTCCTGAAATATTAGGGTAAAACGCTTACTAGTAATTATTTAGTAGCACTCTTTATACTAATATAAGAGAATGTTAATTTTAAAGTTTTAACTGTATATAAAGAAAAACGAAATTTAACCGTAGCCTTAATTGCAACTAAGATAGAAAAATTTGTTTTCTAACCGCTACTCTAAATATAGATAAGACAAGAAAAGCTCTTAAAAATTGACCAATGCTTATAATAAAGAAATTTCCTGGTTTTTGTGCGCAGCAGTGTTGGTTATCATTGGTACACGGTTGGCGTCGTACAAAGAATATATTAACTATGTGTTAAAAAAATATTTCATGGATTTACAATTAGAGCTTACATTATTATAAAAATTAAAAATAGCTATATACTTCTATTAAGTATATTACAAGAAGATATTATAAACTTAAGAAAAAGTTATCTATTGGTTTATTTTGTTATCGAAAACTAAAATTTTTAATGACTGAATTAAACTGGCTGAGGACATCCACTTAAAAAAATTTAAGTAAATAAAATGCGCACTAGTGCGCATTTCGTTTGCAAATGGAGATGTTAACAACTTTTTTGGTGTGGCCTTAAGTTAAAATTTCTGTTGCTGTCTATTTGCTATGCATTTTTGTAAAGATATTCCTAGAGGTGAACCAGATTCTGGTGTGTGTTTCTTTGAGAAAACTTGCTCTCGAAAATTTGAGGTAAAACTTTCCTTCATAAGAGGATCTTTTTAATCTAAATAAACTACTTTATAAATGATATGGGCTTTTTATTAAAGAAAGAGGAGTAGAACAAGTAATTTTTTTAAGCATTGTCTTCAAAAAAATTACCCTGAATTTTATAGATTTTTACTTTTTTGTATTTTCCGCTCATGTACAAACTATAGGTGGTATTTAGCCTTACTATATATATTTTTTTCTGGGCAATTGATAGCCTTTACTATTAATTATTAAACTTATGTTTAATAAAATATATTATAACAGAAAAGTAGGTAAATTTGATGAAGCATGAATTTTAACTTATTTCAAGAAGGAAACTGTACTTTTCCTAATTTACAAATTGAAAATGATGAAAATAAAACGGGTATTAACCCGTCAACGGAGATTCCATTTTTTATGCCTTCTTTTGCAGCTCTCAACGCTTTTAATCAAAGTACTTAATTATTCATAACTAAATAATTTTTACTTGTTATGCCTTCAAGTATAACAGAAAAGCTGACTAACTTGAACACCATTTCATTTATATTTGACATCATTTAGAAAACTTAAATGAGATCGATAATTTAAATCAGGGGGAAAGGGAACCTTTATATAGATTATTAATATGCTAAAAGTTATATAGGGCAGCGTATACAAATTAACAAATAAGAAAGCTACCATAAACGAACTCAAACTTTAATAATAAGGTGACCCTAATAGCACGAGGGGTACAAGATCACTGCATATATGCATACCTATGTGTGGTATATAGAACTGTTAGGTTCTCATGGTTAATAAATTTTCTAACCTTAAATGAGGTAATTCCTCGAGAATGTCAATATATAAGCCATGAGTATTTAGTAACATATTTTCTTATGCTGTAAAACTAAAAGTAAGAATGGCGTTATTATACTATGTGATTACTTAATACCTAGATTGGTTATTCGCAGTTACTTCCTTATAGTAAACTAAGAACAAATAATTTACTTCTTTTTTTCTGTTGAGAATTAGATCTAAATATGCCATTGAATGCGGAGACGGAATTACTTTCTAGGGCACTTTCTGCCAATGCTTATGCTAATATGGATAACACTGGAACCTTTCAGGCGCCGGACGGTTTAAATTTAGGTGGCTAAGAGTGTACATAATTTTTTATAATTGTAAACAAGACATAAATTTATTTAGTGATTCATAGGCAATTTTAATAATATATAAACTTACGTTAAAAAAATTCAGGTCTTCAGTCTTCTCTACTCCAACCAACTGGACTTGTGAGCAATTTATCAGTTTTAAGACCACAAAGCGAGGTTTACGGTAGCAACTATTATTGGCTTTAACCTTTGCTTACGACAAATAAGTGAAAATTTTACAAGTCATATTTAAACTAAATAATAAAATTTTCATTAGCCAACAACTTCAGCAATGGTCACGACCTATATAATATAATCTCGCAACCTTTAACTGAATGTGTAGGAGCTCCTAGCTTCTACCCCATTTCAAATGCGCTAATTGGGGCAGGTTTCTTTGATGAGCTTGAAAATAAACGTTCATTCTATTAGTTTTCAAAAGCCATTTCAGTTGCACCTACCTTTTATATGAGGGCAAATGACGCTTATTCCATCTATACAACTGCGCCCCAATGGATACCAGGTAATAATTTTTTTCTCAACATATACTATTGTTAGTTAATTAATTGTTTATAGTGAATAGAGTTGCTCAAACTGGTCAGGAAGCCCAGGTTTTCATATTGTATTAACCTTCTACCCTGTGGTTAGTACCTCCTATCTATTAAATGTAGAGATATATACTTCCTGATGGTAAGATAAAGTACAACACCGAGTATATTAATAAAAATGCTCTTCTTCCACGCAAACCCCTTAGATTTTGCGCAGAATGCAAAGGTTACCGCAATACACTTAATAATTCCAATTTTTGTTAACTATGAATTTTTAGCTACGGATACTCCGCAGTGGCGACGGGGCCCAGATGGAAAGGTTAGTTTATGCAATGCCTGCGGGATAAGATTTGACAAGCGCAGGAGAGAAGCTAAGGCTATGGTCGGAAAGAGATAAAAATTGGTAATGTGGTATAACGAAAATTTTTTAAGATACTAATGCGTGTAATAATAGACCGAATTATTATTTATAAGAGATAATAACAGATCTCATTACAATCATATACTTACCGGTGGAAAAAGTTATTCAATAAATTATTTTCTTATATACGGCGTTACTTTAATGATTCCCGTTTACGAATTGTTCGGCCTAAACTACAGGAATACATATGAAAATGAACGTGCACGCATGTTAAATTATTAATCTATGTGGTAGGTTAATCCGCGTTATTCTAATACTGCCTTTTAGTCAAATAAATGAAATAGCTCTATATTAGTAATCTCCATTCTATCACACTACTTCAACCTACTAATTCTATACCATACATTATAGCTTATAAAACAGAAAAATGATAGGCATTTCATATTTTTAAAAAGACGTTTTACTAAGTAGAAAATACTAGACTCGAAGAAACTTCAGCATCCTGAGTCCAGGTTTTACATTACAATATAAAATACTATTAAAAATGATAAAAAACCGTCTTATTGATATGACACTCATGACCTTGTTATTAATTCATGGTCTAGAGTAATTAAGAATTTTCTTTAGCCAGTGTGTCCAAGATAGCCTTAATTGAAGTCAATTTATTTGACCTCCTTGTCTTCAAAAAATCGTGGAAACCGTGATTAGTATTTTTTTTTGTTTACTATTCTGCTTTATATACACAGCCAATATACGTTAGAACACTTTAAAGAATATAGATTAGTAATAAAAGCTCAGGTGTGAGAAAATCTGTCAGCCCTCTGCGATTATAAGTAACACTCGTTTACTTCTAATGTCTTTAACCTATAGTTATTACTCTAACCACAATCTTTGCTAGAGTAAACACTGAGTGCAAGTAGAAGTAGATCACGTAAACCGTGCGCACTATATTGCTTGAGTAGATGGAGACAAAAAAACCGAATTGAATTTGACCACCTCTTTATAAAAGTAAAGAGCACCGTAGACTCAGCTATTACTAAGTTTGGAAAAGGGAAGATAAATAGAATTTTAAAAGGTAACGCTATGACTGAAATTATCTGAATTTAAAAATCGAAAAGAAGTTTATGAGTTTATTGAATTGTCAAGTATTATAATAAAATTTATTTTTTATGTCGAGAGCTGGACGCTGGTAACTTTGATTTAAAGTTTTCCCACCTGTTTTATTAAAAATTGTCAAGAAGATAAAAAAATCTTAATAACCTCTTACGGTTTATCTAAGCGATGTGTTTGGAGAGTGAGGATGTGAAGTTATAGGATGGGTACATAGTTAAAGGAAATATAATTTTTTTATATTTACAATGCAACTTACACTGAGTTTCTGTTTCATTGTTGTGTTTGCTTGACTAGAAAGTTAACCAAAAGATTAGCATCTTAAGAATTATACCTCAATAAAGTCTACCTTATCAGAAAAAGTTCTCCAGGGTGGGCTCAAAGACTACATATTTTGAAAAAGTTTTTTTTTACGGCACCAAAAAAAATTAAAAAAAAAATAATAGTTAAATTACACTCGGCAAATTCTCGCTTATTCCCAATCGGTTCTTCAACTTGCTTATTGACTTATCCATTTTAAGTAAGGCAAGTCTATAGTAGAGAAAAAGGGTTATAAGCCATTAATTTTTTTGAAAAAGTATAGAAGGATGTTTATATTATCTAGAACCTATGACTCTCCGACTGTAGCCTTATTTCAATTAGTTTTCGATCAAAACCTTCCATGGTTTCCACATGCTTATTACGCCTTATTTCCAGAAGCTTTGGATATAAAACTATACAAACATCTAAACAACTATCAGCAATTAGAGGGACTTTACAGTTTCCTTACATATCATTATACGCTGAGCAGCAATTTTTTCCCTAGTTTTTTGGTAAAGCTCTAGTTCCTGCCTCAACTTGGATGCTAGACTTAAATCAGTTTCTAAGGCCTTTCATCCACGATTTTAATAGCTCAAAAATTGTTCAACGAAGGTCTTTGTTGGTTTGAATAGAGGTTTTACCTTGTTGACGCTGTTAAGGTTAAAATCGAGAGCAACTTGAAGTTCTTCGCAACGCTGTTTAATCAAACTTAGTTTCTCTTGTAATAAAGCAGTGCCCTTATTAGTTTTCGCTTCCTCTTTCAAATTGTTAAGGTCCATAACCTTTCCTTAACCAAGCTAAAACCCGACGTGGAGTAGTTTTTTTTCTTCATACTACGCATTAAAAGTGATGTCGCATAAACTGAAGGCGTGAAGTGGGATAAGAAAGTTAAGAATTGCTATCGCGATTCAAGCCAATAATTAAGAACATGAAAACGTTCACAGCTAAATGGATTATAAACTGCCTAATAGGCGCACAGTGCGCGGGCCCTAATTATCAAAATACAAACTCTTAATCTCTTAAATCTGGTAAATGACCGAATAAATAATAGAGATCAAGTACAGTGTATGTTTTTCTTAACTAAACCTTTTCGGTTTTGCATTGAATTATAATTTATCCCTTTATAATTTTTCCTTACCTTGAAAACTTTTTTCTAAGTTGTTTGTTAATTACTATAGATTATTATTTGTTTAACTTTTTACTTTTTCAATTACTTTTTTTTTATCTTATTTCTTTAAATCGGAAGATGGTTAAGGTTTTGATTTTTTAAGAGATTTTACATATATATAAACCCTATTTGTACCTTATACTCTCTTGTGAGTGTTAGCACTCGTCTAATTCGCGATTTTATACCGTGTCTTGAAATATTAATATCGTTTGGAAAACAATGCAGCTGAATCATAACCCAATCCCAAAGCATTGAATTTTTCTACAGATCGCGATTTGGTATGCATGCAAAATTTTTTAATCATTATTTCAAATGTTCAAATGTGTTGAGTAAGTAATGATAAAAAATTGTAGAAACTAAAGGGAGGCCTCAGTAAAGCCAAAAAAAATTACAACACTAGCCAATTAAAACTAGTCGTTAGTTTAAAATTTTTATATCCGTCCATCTAAATATTAATCTACTACAAGTAAAAATAAGAGGTGACTACTGAAATGTTTTGCGCTTACCGCTCAATAACCGTTACCTTTTTGTTAAAACATTTTTTGCTTAATTTATTTAAACAATTATTAAAATTTTGTATTAGTTACGTTTTAAGTGCCAAAATCTTCTAATGACGTAAGACATCCGACTCCAGCGCTTAATAGAGTTAAAAAGCTACATTTATTGTACAAAGTAATAAATCTTTATTTCAAAATTTTTCTTTGTGCCATAAATTTTCCACATTGGTTTACCTTTATTCCTAAATAAATCTGTGTACAATAAGAAAAAGAAGCAACGAAGCTGAAGGCGAGCGGATACCAAGATTGATGAAAGAGCACTATGTATGCCCGGCTTGTCCACTACAATGTATGGAACACGTGCACAAACTACCAAGCTGTAATTCTAAGGATCAAAACTGTTTTCAATTGAGTTACGCCATTTTCACTGGGTGTACATGCTTCCATTTTACTAAATTAATATTGTATATTAATATTATTATTAAAAAGTGTTTAATACTTGATTGTTGGTGTGCATATTAATAACAATTTTTTTAAATAAATTAACGACTCTTTCAAGGATGAGCTTTTGTGAGTTTTCCTTAGGAAAGCAGCTGCTATCAGTGAACCTTTCATCTGCGAAAATTCATAACGACTCTTGGATTTCACCTTCGTCAGATTTTTCAACAATAAAGAAAGAAATTGTTAAGAAAAGTCAGTTGTTGCTTGCCAAAGATGATAATTCCTTTGAGGTTAGTTTTCAACCAACAAATATTTTAGCCCAAAGGAATATTTTAGTCGTAATAGATTTAAATGGTTTTCTATACCACAGAATCTTTAAATGCCAACATTTTAGTGAGACGGAGTTATCTTCAAAAGTCCCTTGTTACCGTTTAGGTAATTTTTATGTTTATCCCAGGCCTCACTATAAAAGTTTTCTGCAATTTCTATTTGCAAATTTTCATGTGGGGTTGTGGTCTAGTGCTAAGAAACATAATATTTTGAGGCTTATAAACGATGAAAATTGTGGATTTCCTAAAACCTTTTTGGACATGTTAACTTTTATATTTGATCAATCCCATTGCACTGCAATTCCAGTTCCTAACTCTAAAAAACCTTTATTTCTAAAAGATTTAAGTATTGTTTGGGAAAAATTTCCTCAGTGGAATGCTTCTAATACACTAATTATAGACGATAGCGTTGAAAAATTGCAGAGGAATCCGAAATATACGAGTATATCGCCGCCCACTTGGACTCGTAACGATGTTAAAGATGAAAGTCTTGGGATCAACGGCTCAGTTAGAAAATTTTTGACTCATCTATTGGATGCTGGAAAAGTGAATGTCCCAGAATTTGTGGAAACACATCCGTTTACTGCCTTGTAAGAGTAATAAAAACCTTTGTTAAAACTTCAAGTCAATTATTTTATTCTTTTTGGTATAATTGGGTCTACAGATTTTATATAGTAGCATCAAGACCAAACAGTTTAACAACTGCTCTGGCCCATATCTAAGCTTACTCTCTTTTTTTTCAAGAAATTATTCACATAAGAAAAAATCGAGGAACACCTTTTTATAAAATTAAGATGAACAAGAATAGTTACAGAATGTTAAAAGAAAAAGAATTTACTTCATAAGCATTTTTCTTTGAGGTTTATTAAACCTTCAAAATCTGTTTATTTAAACCTGAAGTCTTTTTACTTTCTTACCTGCCCAAATAGTATTTATCTTTTTCATAAGTATTAATTGTAATATATCACAATCTAAGTTACCGATGCTACTTTATTAATTCTTTTAATACCAATATTAATTTAGTACAACTCAACTGGTATTAATTTCTTAGTTTTGTGCTTGCTTCCATTAAAATTAATTATTATTACTATTACAAAATTCAAGGAAAATTTATACAAATAGGTGTTTATTACAGACTATTAGAACTAAAAACTTAACCTGCTATACCAGAAGTAATCTTATAAAATATTTACGCTGGTAATTTAGAAAGATACACATATTTTAACGATTAAATTTGTATTAATAATTTATATACAAGTTCCCATACAGTTTACAGCTATATAATATTTCCGGATAAAGTCGCTGAATTTCGTCTAAGTAATGACAACGCTAGCCCATGTTATTGATTAATCTAAAATGCTGTCGGATTAAAATATCTTCATTCCTAATATTTTTCTTTTACTTATGCTATAAGTAATATGTGTGTTAAAAAGTATGAATCGTGTTCTATTTTGGTCTTAAGCTCCAAATTTTTTCTTTCGGTTTAAATTTTCAAGGAACTCAAGTTTATAGGGCTGCAAAGGTTGGAAGGTCAAAGGAGTAACTGTTTTGGTCTATAGGGCTAAAGCCACAAAAAAGAAGATAGTGAAATTCCTTCTTGAGTAATAGAAATACATAATGTATTAAATTATTTATTACTGGTGTGCTACAGCCGATACGCATAGATCCTCTTGACTGCTTAACCCTTTTCCCCTCTTCAACCCGAAAAGAGGTAAAGCAGGATTGAGTCGTGTTTTTCACAGGTCGCGTACCAGCCATTAGAAATTCATATACGAAGAAAGTTGTAAACAGCAGTAACAATCAAAAAAAGGGTAATATTAAATAAAATAAAGATAAAACACAAAATAAGTAAAAATTAAATAATTATATTATATATACGTTTATATATGTATTTGAAGCATAATAAACAGTACTTTGACTTCAGTATATTAAATAATAGACTGTTTAATTCAGATATAACTATTAAATAAGGATCATTTATGAATATAAAAAATGTAAAATACATAAACATAAATTAACAACATGCACTTAGGGTGGGCAAGTCGAGGCCTCCAGTAATTTAAAATGTGTTCGGGTTTTCATATTTATTGTACCAGTAAATTAGCACTAACAGCATCTAATAAACTGCTGGTATGTTTCACCGTATTCTTTATAGCATAATTTTCAAGAATAAAGACTTAATCGTCTCCAACAGCAGCCACGATGTAACTAATCGTTACGTGTGAATAACGAAGCAACCGTAATCATCCTAAAGTAATTATCTTTAATAAGAAGCAATCTATTATTCCATTGTAAAATAGTTTCTTTTCTTGGCTATTCTAAATTTAGGCCTTTATTAAGCTTGTTTATTATATCTTCCCCTTTTTCATTAATTTCTTAATTAAATTAAAGCAAAGATAGTATACTCAACTGTAATGACTGCTTTGCTGTTATCTGAGAACTTCACGAAGCCTAGGTCGTCCTACCATCTTAAGTGGTTAAGTATTATTTTTTTTTTTTTAAATTAGATATGTAAACAATCTTTTATCCCTCAAAAGCAATAATAAACTAAAAACGAGCTTTATCGCTTCTTCTCTCTCTATCAATTAAATATGCTGGACAATGATATTTGCGGTCGAAGTGAGCCATAATTACATCCAGTGTGTTCTATGAAGAGAGATTACTTTCAGTTGCCCTCCCTTCTGCGGGGAAGTTGCTACACATCCACGGACCTTTTAAGTACAAATAGTTACACAATGCAAATTTCAAGTCAATGGCCACCAGTTGCGCAAGAAACACAAATAAAGGAAAGCAGCCTCCCTTCTGCTACGCAACAGGTGGCTTCAAAATACGCACTGAAAAGCAATAGTATTTTGCTCAACTTCTATATTTGTCTTTATTAAAATAACCTCATTTCATTTTTCTAGTAATAGTATAGATATTGTTTTTATATATAAAATAAAGACTAAGAGAAGTTATCTAGTTTAACATTTCTCGATCTTCCTTCCTCTTTTCTATAAAAGGTGAAATTAAAATCCCATTTAAAAGTTTTTACTTTTTTTTGTGGGTAATACTATTTACCGTAGGTTTCGATGCAAGACTTTAGTACTCATTATAAATTAAAGACTAAAAAAAGAAGAATTATAGAGGAGGATTTAGACACTTTGGATGTTGACTCTGTGCTTGTAAATAAGACTATTATAAACACTAGGTGAGATCAAGGCCTTTATAGTGGGAGAGAATTTAGAACTGTTATTACTATAGTGTAAAGGCAAGAAAACGAAAGATTATCGAGGAGGATCCGGATACTTTCAGCCCTGAATCTGCACTTGCTAATAAGGAGCTTAAGTAAGCTCACTAGCTGCTTCCGTTGTTTAGTACTAGTAATAAAAAAGTCTACTTTGCAGTAATTTGGTGTTTACTTCTTCGAACATAACTAATTGCGAAGCGAAAAACACTTTATTCAACAAGTTTCGTCTTAAATTTTGGCCCAGTGCATATTTTATGTAAATTTATTTTCTACTCGTTTAGGAGATCGTCTTTGCGTGTTCGCAATGCTGGTTATAGACGATGCTCCCGGTACAGGGAGAAAGGCTTGTCTTAGGATTTTTTTACAATATTATCCCTGTTTATTGCTATTCTCCTTTTAGGATTCATTGTTTTACGTAATGAACTCAAGCATAAGAGAGAAAAACAAGGCATGGCTGTCGAGGAAGATGGACTGATAGAAGGTACTGGTTTAGGCTCTTTTTAGCTTAAGCTATTCTAAAAAAACTATAGAAATTTCAACTGCTTCTGAGCGAAGTGACTATTTGGAGGAGGATGACATTTCCTCCGACGCCTCCCACGAAACTCCTCTGTTCTTCCCGGTGGTCACCTCCTTTGGAGATCCGAACAATACGAAAATTTTTGCGCAGGTCGGCCTTGAAGAGCAACGTCTTTAGCTCCACATCACATTTCTTTGGCAGATGTTAGTTAGCGCAGTCATCGATGAAGACTTCCTTTCTTGTGCTTTGGACGGTGGCGTATTTTTTTTCGCTTGACTTTTATTGTTTTTTTCAATATAAAAGAATGCAGAAGAGTATTTTCAAGTGGCTTGGCGCGCCGTTTCGGATAAACTTCGGTCACGTCAACAACTTCTTGATTCTAGTGCGTGGCTACCGTCTTTTAGGGTTGCTTTGAACATGGGCTTTTCTTGGCTTAACTTTTATAATTTCCTTTTTTTTTTTAAGAAAGATCTTCATGCCTACCCGGATGCTAAGAGGACAGTGGGCAGAAATGCTGGGCATGACTGCGACGTACAGGATCGTTTGGTGAACCTTGTTATCTGTTGGTAACTTTTTTTTCAAGTAGGCGTGCGAAAGGTCCAACCATCCTGCCACTGTGACAGTTGTGCTCTCGGGCTGCTCCTACGATAAAAGCTCCTTCAAAGTTCGTAGTGATAGTTTTGCTCAACATTAAAGTCCTCCTTAGCACCACTGCGCAGAGTCTACCGGTCGCTGCAGAAGAGAAAGTCTGGGAGTTGGGGTGCTTTTGTGCGAAGCGGTCTTTGCTTTTCCACAAGATAGTCCACTTTCCTTACCACTGCTATAAGCGGTAGTCGACTATTATCAGCAAACTGGCGCTGTGTTTGACGTGGCTTGTGCTTGAGCAGCTTTTACAGAAAAGTAAAAAGCCTGGAGCCTCTCTATGCGACTTCTGTGGAGCTTGTAGAGCACTTTACTACCGAGCCGATCATGGACCAGGTCCTTTCTAACCCTCGAAGATTCCTTCATATTTTTCCCTCCAACCATGCGCCATTCCGCCCAGCCCGGTAGAGACCTCGAGGCGCTGATCGCATCGGTAGACAAATTTATCCACGCTTCGTAAGGACAAAACTTGTGCCAGCTCGCCTTTACTCTCCGACTTAACGTCGAACTGCGTATTGCCAGGAAACGTGTAGTAAAGCTTTTTATTTTCCTTTTTTGTGCTTGCGGAGAAGAAAATGAAATTAACTAAGTAATATTGCGTTGGAAGCAGGATCCTTAAATTTAAAATTCCGCTACTTATTTCGGCAGTTCCGCGTTTTTAATTGGTTCCGTAAATGTAAAACGTTTCTCCCTTTAAAAAATTACTTTTGCAGCTACTCCATTTCTATTACAGCTGCTTTTTGCAATGTCTATTATATGGTCTTGTTTTACCCTTTGCTTGATTGTCTCTAGCACTAATAAACATGGATATCAACAAATGTAACAAAGGCCCTACAATCTATAATATTTTTATATTAACAAGGTCAGCATTTATCCCATTACACGCACGTGTTAAAAATAGCTTTACTATTTATCGAAAATTACTAATACTGTTTCGATGTCTTTGTTTGTATTTTTCGTGCCTTCGTTGCAAGTTGCTTGGTAGCTTTAAAACTGTCCCTAATGGGAAGGGGTCGAAATTAGTGGTAAATATGGCAATGGCCAGTCAAGAAGTTTCACCATTATTAATTTGCTTGTTCCGCATAAAATAAATAAATTGGCAAACACAAACCTTGTTAAAACTATAAAAAGTAGTAACTTGATTTATACGTGTACAAAGTTAATTACAAAAATCTGATAATAATCCTGAAGGTTAACTTTTCTTTTGGTCTATAAGATATTTTTTGTCCTCTTTGTAAAGGTACATATACAGGCGAACGGCCAATAATAAAAATGTGTCAGTGTTGTGTTTACTGCTTTATGTCACCCTATAAGCAAGAGGTCTCCCTTCATTCAAGCATGAGTGCTGGAGACAATACAAAGCTTCTCTTAATGGCCCTTTAGACAATTTATTCACCCTGTATCCTCTCTACTTTATAATAAAGACAAAACAGCTTCAAGGGTGCTGGTTAACTTTATTAATAGCCCTTGAATATATATATACGTACGAAAAGATGATATTGTACTTTAGGGTTAGGGTTAGCTTAAGTTGCCTGGCTGCGTGCTATGATCTTTTAATTGAACAATGTTTATTAGGCATGAAGTAGGAAGTTACCTGATAGGTAGTACTAACTACAGTTTAGGCTAAAAAACATAATACATTATTCTATAAGCCTCTGAAAACTGTGTAAAAGAAAAGAAAATCTTACTTAACGGCATGCTTTCCCTAATAGATAAAGTCATACGTATGTACCAAGGAGTACGTCCAGATACACAAATTAATTATCCCGTGAGGCATCCGGAACCGTGTGGGTGGTGTCTTAAACTATTTCTCTTATGGCATTCGCTAGAATATAAGCTTTGCCGATCACACGGTATAAAGGAATGAAATCTGCATTACAAGCAAACACCCTCTACTCTCTAACACTTGCAATTACTTTCAGAGCAGTCGAACACTATAATATACAAAGTCATCACTACCACTTCAATGTAACTATACCAGACGAATAGTGCTTAGAGTTAAAATCTTAATTATAAAGATTAAAGACAGTGTCCCTCTTCCATCGCAGAGCCGAATTATTTAAAAAAGCAGGTCAAAAAAAAATGGAACCTTTTTACTAGAATTCAAGCATTGCCTCAGATAGGCGAAGTAAATACAGCGCTTGTAATAGTATAGGGTCACATTTTACCAGATGGTACCCTTAAACGAACCTATACTTTCTTTCATACTGATGGTACCTTAAAAAATATGTAACAAATTTACATCCTGAACCCAACTAAACATATATAATGGACAATATCGAATTTAACCTACATGGTTATCTAAATTTAAAGCGTTGTATAGTTGCATTTCTTTATACACAACAAACCACCAAAAGCTGAGCATGGTTTTATAGCAGTATATAAAAGAAAATTTAATACGTCGGCATACGAAGAAGGAAGGAGATTTGAAAAGCTAACAACTGTATGCGCGTTAAATAGAAATCGGGTCACTTACCTAGAGAAATAATATTGCTTATAGGTCCATTTACTTGAAACGTTGCGAACCATATAGAGTGCAAAATGCGCAAAATAAAACAAGCAAACTTAGTAGTTTTGCTAGTTCTCGGGTCTATTCAGCTTTGAAAAGAATGCTAAATTTAATAAGTGATGGAACTTTAGTATTCTTCTCTAGAGTGATACATGAAAAATAATGTAGCAAAATATACCATTATCCCTATTTTTTATATTAGCTTTAGCTAACTTTGTATTGATTCTTTTATTCGGAGTTGTAGTTTAACTGCTAAGGGCAACTGGTTCGGTTTAACCTTGTTTTATTGCGCCGCGCTGGTGTAATGATAGTGTATTAGGCTATATAATGTAATATTATGTAGTAAGATATGCTATGGTTAATAGTGTTATCTACTAGTATCTTATATAAGCGCGCGACTCCCCAGCAAAGCAATTAGGTACAAATTTTTAATTAAAAGAATTTGCCAAAGGATTCCATAACACCTAATTGAGTGTATAAAAAGCACTAACCATTAGTTTCTTAAGCTGCAAAGTATTTATACATTATGACCACATCTAAAGAACAGAGTGCCAAAAAAATTTTAAAATGTTATAATAGAAACCCACAGACTCCACTGATGGCAATAACAGTTCTTTATTAAAAACAAAAGATAATACTATTTTTGAGAATGTATTTTAGTGGTAATAAGGTGGTTTAAAACGTTATTGGTCATAAAACCAACAGAGGCTAAGAAAATAAATTTATAACTCAAAAATTACAGCCACTTTAGCTAAAAAACGACGCTTTTAAGAGAGTCCAACCAAATAGGTAACCTACATAACGATATTTAAGGGAACATTAACAAAATTTGAGGACATTTTGAACACAACAAATAAATACCTTCTAAAACTAAGGGTACAACTGCAATATAAATTTATATACAAATACGTAAGCAGGCATAGTTCAAATAGATAGAAATTAATATCATACAAACACATATGAAACTATAAAAATGCGTGAAAATGTGGGAAAAAAGAAAAAACTATAATCGTTAGAAATATAGCCCAACCTCGGGGTACCAAACGATTTTTTTATCCCCCTTTAGATACAGAAAGAAAGAGAACACCATAAATTATTGGAGTTAAAAGCCTCCAGTTATTACTTAACATACATCTTCGCCACAGTCTCGTTTGTAGGAATACATATGTCGGTTCATTCTCATTTTAACTGCCTTGTAGTATAATACACTTGGATAAGGCGGAGAGGCTAACTTTAACTTTTTAATTTATTAAATCCTAAGTGAGAAGTTCGGAAAAGTAGTCTCCTCGCCAAGGACTGGGCAATGTAATAAGAAAAAGTAATATTGCCAACATTAAATAGCTGTAAGGGCATTTTTGTAAAGATAGGTCAATGGTGAATAAACCTTCTCTGGCTTTGTAGATACAGATAAAAACGATTTATTAATAAACCTACGTTACTATTAAACATTATAATAGTTGTTGATATGTCATAGTTACTTTTATTTACTTCTGATTAGTATAATTTAACTCTTATTATATTATTAAGATATTATTACCGCTATATATCTATACTATCACTCTTTTGCTCTTCAGTACTATCCGTTTTTAGTAATGTTCTCTCCAAACGTCTCTCTTTCAATTATTTAATAATGGCAATGACTAGATGCCCAATTGATCAACAAATGCAGATCTCAAGCTCTAAAGCAGGTAAATAGCATACAAATTAGAGAATATCAGTTTTTTTTTCTTTTAATTTATAACACCAACTCTTTTGTGACTATAAGAAAACTCAAAATGTTTTACGTTGACGTGGAAGCACGTCCACGGTTCCCAAACTTTTTAGTTAGTCATTCGTTGATCTTATTTGCATTGCGCTGAAAAACGACATTTAGCGACTCGAGCTGGAGATAGCGTCGCCCCCCTTAAGAAGCCCAAAATCTCGTTCTGTTCACCATAAGCTAGTGCACAATTGCCGGCGAGTCCTAAACTCTTTTTGTTACTGTAAAAGAAGTATATTCATAAAGAAAAAATTAGAAAGTTTGGGAAGATTTAGTTAAAAATAGTAAAAACCTACCTAGATGGTCAGTTGCGAAGTATTACATTTCTTCAACTAAATTTAATAACGCTCTAGAAATATCTATATAGTAATAATAAGGATCTGCTATAGAATATTAGTATAGAACAATTCACAACCTTAATTTTAATTCTATTAACAAAGCGTACCCTAAGTTTTACTAAAATCCTGCGTTTTGTGAGAGACTATTCACACCAAAAATATACAATACATACAAAAAAGTCAGAGACATATTCATATGTTTGTTGTACAGTTAGTAAAGCTTAAAAGTTAAAGTTAAAAAGAAAAAGATAATATTTCCCTCTGCTCTTTGTTTCTTTGGTTTACGTAGTGTAAAAAAGATCTTAGGCAGTGTGAGCCGGTGGTATTTGGTATTTAGTCTAAAGAATTTCAAAGCTAAAAAAAAATCTAGTCAAAGATATTACAACAAATCTTATTTTTTCATCTTCGAGTAAATGATTTTATTAAGAAATCTCTATAAGTCCGTAGAAATGAAAGAGAAAAAATAAGCCTTACATTTTAAATCTTATTTTAATTTTTTCTTTTTTTGCTTATAATACTAAACAATTTAGATCCTACAACGTTATCAATTATTTTCTAACTACTTTGTTTATGAAAAAAAGTTTAAACAAAACCTATGTATTCCGGCATACAGTATGTTATACTTATAAATTTACACAGTATTGTTTTAGTTAATAAAATTCAAGGCTTCCAAGTACTGCAGGCGGTGCATCGTAACGAAAACTAGACTCAATGTTTAAAATATTACTGCTATTCAATGATCGTTGTAACAAAGCCGAGTAACAAAAAGGAAACGAAAATCATAAATTTGTAATAAGTCAGCTAAATCATCCTATATATATATTAAATCCCATTTTAACAGTCACTAATTCGGGGTATCCTCCTAACAGCTGTTTCAACAGTTAAAAATTTGGTAAAACTTGACTGCAAAGTAGATTAAAATGAAACACTGATTATTTTCCTAATCACCTTAGTATTATCTTCTTTGTGCCAAAAAAGCACAGCTTATATTGGTAACTAATAAAATTTACAAGCAAAGAGGTCACTAAAAGTTTTTCTAGAGCACCAAGCTTCATCTAGCGTTGGGG